CAGTATGTGTTTTGCATTTCGCCTTAGATTTTTATCCTTTAAAACCAATCAGCCTAATATCCCACCCTTTAGGACTAGTAGTCCTAAGTTCCTCCGGGACTGATAGGAATGGGACGGGTAATAGCATGCAATAGTAACCGAGACCAATCCGCGCTTTAATACCTTAACGGGGTGGGAAGGGTAGATATGGATATGATGACCGGTGCGATAATACCTCATGTAGCCCCTCTTTAGAGGAGTGATTACTGGGTATTGCATTGACGTGATCCATATTAATCATAAACCTAGGACCCCTTCCCTTTACTTACTTTCGTTTATTTTTAGAATTGTTTAAATCTTTTTCATAAAATTCCTGCCCTCTTTACCTTTACTCAAGTTTCGACTTACTTGCAATATTGCATGTGAACCCTTTCTATTTGAGCCCTTAATTGCCTACTTGATTATGTGAAGTCACAATATAACATGGCCGGGAACCACACTAGTGGATCTTGAGGGGTGCCTAACACCTTCCCCTCGAGATAATTTCTAGCCCTTACCCGAACTCTGGTTTTCCAACTCAAAAACCCTTAGTGTCCTAATGCACTTAATCATTAGGTGGCGACTCTTCAATTCCAAAAACCCAAATCCCATAAGGGAATAGAGTTGTCCTCCCAAATGTCGTAAACCCGATTTCGCGAGAAAAAAGGGGCGTCGACAGTGCCCGGAGCCAAATCAATACAGAAGTCAATATCCCAGTCGGGTGGAATACCCGGCAGGTCTGAAGGAAATACCTCAGGAAACTCACGGACAATAGGCACAGAATCCATAGAAGGAACCTCGGAACTAGAATCACGAACATACATCAAATAGGCCAAACATCCCTTATCAACCATACGCCGAGCCTTCATATATGAGATAACCCTACGGGTAGAATGGCCAGGAGTCACTCTCCACTCTAAATGAGGTAAACCCAGCAAGGCTAAGGTCACAGTCTTGGCATGATAATCCAAGATCGCGTGGTAAGGTGATAAACAGTCCATCCCCAATATGACATCAAAATCAATCATATCCAAAAGTAACAGATCTACTCGGGTCTCAAGACCCCTAATCACAACTATACATGAACGATGGACATGATCTACCATAATAGAATCACCCACCGGTGTAGACACATATACAGGAGCACTCAAGGAATCACTAGGCATGACCAAATACGGTGCAAAATAAGATGACACATAGGAGTATGTAGATCCTAGATCAAATAGAACTAAAGCATCTCTTCTACAAACCAGAACAGTACCTGTGATAACTGCATCGGAGGCCTCAGCCTCAGGCCTGGCTGGAAGAGCATAACACCGGGGCTGGGCCCCACCACTCTGAATTACATCTCTGGGACGGCCTCCTGCTGGCTGGCCTCCACCTTTAGCGGCCTGACCTCCACCTCTAGCACCTCTACCTCCACCTTTAGCTGTCTGAGCGGGCGGTGTAACACTCGGTGCCTGAACCATGGCACGAGAACCTTGATGCTGAGAGCTGCTCGGTGCTCGAGGGCAAAATCTAGCAATATGCCTCGTATCGCCACAAGTATAACAAGTCCTCGGCTGCTGAGACTATTGACCCTGACGACCTGAATAACCACCCTGAAAACTCTAGAGCGGCAGTGCACTGATGGGAGCTGGTGGTGCATTGTAGGGAAACTGATCGGAATACTGCATATGAGAACCACGGCCACCTAGCACACCGTGAGAAGCCTGAAGTGCTGAATAAAACTGGAAGGATGGCCCCTACCAAAAGAATCTCTGCCTCCAGAAGAGGCATCACCGAACCTTCCCGAATGACAAGGCCTCTTGCCAGACCCCTGACCACTCCCCAGTGATAGAACCATCTCAACTCTCTTGGCCACATTGCCCGCATCCTGAAAAGAAATCTCGCTCCCCGTCTCCTTAGCCATCTGCAATCGAATAGGCTGAACGAGTCCCTCAATGAACCTCCCCCCCCTCTCTCTCTCTCTCTCTCTCTTCTCTCAGTAGGAAGTATAAGAAGAGCATGACGGGTCAAGTTAATAAATCTGTTCTCGTACTGAGTGACAGTCATAGAACCCTGCTGGAGATGCTCAAACTGCCTCCGATAGTTCTCCCTCTGAGTGATAGGAAGAAACTTCTCCAGAAATAGTTGAGAGAACTGATCCCAAGACAAAGCCGGTGACCCAGCTAGTCTAGCCAAGCAATAATCTCTCCACCAAGTCTTGGCAGATCCAGACAGACTAAAAGCAGCAAAGTCGACCACCCCATTGGTCTCCACTATCCCTATGTTCCATAGAACCTCATGATAGCTGTCCAAATAATCCCGGGGATCCTCAGACAATGTACCACCAAAAGTAGTAGTAAAGAGCTTGGTGAACCTGTCCAACCTCCACAAGGCATTAGCAGACATAGCTGGCCCCCCACCGGTCTGTGCCACAACACCCGAGAGCTACCCCAACTGGCTGAGCTGCTGGATTCTGAAACTAGGGAGCCATCTGCTCCCAAGTGCGAGTAGTAGGAGTCTGGGCTCCTCCTCCAGCCTGAGAGACGGCTGGTGCTACAGGAAGCAAGCCTGCTTGGGCGACACTCTCCATATGTCCCACTAGACGGACCACAACATCCTGAAGTACTAGGGTGGCGACGAACCCCTTTGGGACTTGAGCTGGTCCTGCTGGAACTATCTGGGCTGGAATCTCATCGTCAAACTCAACCTCAGGCTCTGTCGCTGGTGCTGCTGCTCGAGCTCTAGGCTGAGCTCTGCCTTTGCCTCGGGACCTAGCACGGCCTCAGCCTCAGCCCCTCGCAGGAGCTGCTACTAGGGGCTCGGGCTGCTGGTCAGCTGATGAAGCGGTACGTGTTCTCACCATCTGCGAAAGAACAAAGTGGAAGTTCAATTAACATTGAAAAATCAAGTCACACGACAGGAAGGAATAGATGTGAAGTTTTTCCTAACTCTGTAGCCTCTGGGGGATAAATACAGATGTCTCCGTTCTGATCCCTCAGACTCTACTAAGCTTGTCCGTGAATTGTGAGGCCTAAGCAATCTAGAGCTCTGATACCAACTTGTCACGACCCGGATTTCCCACCCTCGGGAGTCGTGATGGCACCTACTCGTGAAAGCTAGGCAAGCCGAGTATTACAGATTTTGTTACCCTTTTCCTTTAACCTTTTTAACATTTACGAATTTAAAAAGGTGATCAACAACGGAAATAATCATAATAAATAGAATGCGGAAGACGAAATCTAATAGTTTAACCAAATACTAATACGAAAATCCAAAATACAACTCTACCCAAAATTTGGTGTCACAATGTCATGGACTATCTACGAATACTACAAAGAGCGGTCTGAATGAAAAATACAAATCTGTCTGGGAACTACATAAAAACAAAATGAAAAGATAAAAGAGGACGCCAAGGCCTGCGGACATCTACAGGGCTACCTCGGGTCTCCACCGCTGGACTGAAGGCAGCCACCTCACTATGGTCCAAAAGCTCCGACACCGGGATCTACACACAGTGCACAATGTAGTATCAGCACAACCGACCGCATGTGCTGGTAAGTGGCGAGCCTAACCTCGACGAAGTAGTGACGAGGCTAGGACAAGACTACCAAATAAACCTGTGCAGTTATATCATATACGACAACTAATAACAGCAAAAGCTAGCAGTTATAGACGGGAAAGGGAAAACATGCTACGGGGAATATCATGTACAAACAAAATACAGTAAAGAAGCATAAGGAACACCAAAATCCAACTATAAGCAAGAATAAGGAAAACAATAACAAGTGCACGACATCACCCTTTGTGCTTTTACTCTCGTTCTCACCATAAAAATCAATATATTCGGCGTGACATCACACCTTTCGTGTTTTTACCTCGCATAATTATGTCACAGCATTATCCTTCATGCATTATCACTCATATCATGGCACGGCATCACCCTTCGTGCTTTTACATTTACAATATCGGCACGGCATCACCCATCGTGCATTAACACTCTCTCATAAATATCACACGCGGCATCACCTTTCGTGCTTTCCTCTCTTCCTTACCCAAGCAACAATCACAAAGCAATTCGGGCAAGGGAAATCAATAAAATCAAAATAGAATCCCGGCAAGGGAGCAATAATATAACAACAATATCCCGGCAAGGGAAACAATATCGTAAACAATAATATCCCGACAAAGGAAACAATATCATAAACCTTCCTCATTTCCAATATCACTTCACAACATAAATCTCAACTTAAGCCAACGCTCTATCATGTTCAATTACCAAGAATACTTCCATAAGCCTTGTTCCACATTGCGAATCATTATATTAAGCATGGACAACACATAACAGAGTCACAATAATCATAGTATAAGACTCAATCACAGTGTAAGACTCACGACATGCTTGACACCAACGTATAGATACTCGTCACCACACCTATACGTCGTACTCAACAATGAACACATAGCAAATAAGACCACGACTCCTATTCCCTCAAGCTAAGGTTAGACCAAACACTTACCTCAATGCCACGAACACAATCAAGCCTCAATTACCGCTTTACCTCTTGATTCCACCACCAACCCGCTTGTATCTAGCCACAATTTACTTAATAACATTAATAATTGCTAAATAAACCAATTCCAATGCATGAAAATAGATTTTCCCTTGTTTTCCCCAAAAAGTCAAAAGTCGACCCCAGGCCCGCGTGGTCCAACCCGAAATTCGGACCAACACCCGATTACCCATCCACCCCCGAGCCCGGATATACAATTGGTTTTGGAATCCGACCTCAATTTGAGGTCTAAATCCCTAAATTTTGATATTCTTAGGATCTACCCAAAATACCCAATTTCCACCATGAAAACCCTAGATTCTAGGATGAATCTTGTAAAAAGAAGTTAAGCAGTGAAAGAATTTAAAAAGGACAGAAATGAGGCGCACGTTAACCGTTGCTCTCGGCGCATGATAGCAAGGTTTGTAATCGTGACCGGAATCAATGGCTCGTCGCCGGAAAACTGTGCATGATACTAATACGCAGACGGAGAAGCTTATTACTCCAGCTAACGGTGTTCAAAAGGAATTACCTCCACTCACATTTGGACGCTTTCTTCCACAGAAATTCCGATCGATTGAGGAAGTTCATGAAACAAGTAGTTCTGAAGGTGATGTTCAACTTCAACCGGTTAAAGCGGAGGAAACAATGAATCCAGCAGTGAGACGATTACAGTTTTCAGAAGCAAGTGGATCGGAGAAGCCAACTCCTACGGCAGCTGATATTGTTCGAGGAAATCACAGCTCACAAATGGGTAAAACATTATCATTTGTTCCTCCAACTGATAGAGATGGTAAGAAAATTGTCAAATTAAGTGAAGATGATTTGCAATCACAGGCGGATTACTGGAAAACCTCTTTAATTGGGTACATAATTGGAGAAAATCCTTATGAAAAAGCTATGGAAAATTTTGTTCTGAATATGTGGAATTTTGTTACTAAGCCTCAGATCCTGATTCGTTCTGAGGGCTACTGTATTTTTAAATTCCACACTATAGCTGATAGGGGTCAAGTTCTTCAGTCAGGTCCATACACTTACAGAAACAAACCTATGGTGCTAAGGCTATGGGGAATTGATTTCTCATTCAATAAAGACATTTTAAGCACAATTCCAGTTTGGGTGAGATTTCCTGGGCTACCAGTGGGGTATTGGTCGACTGAAGCCCTAAGTAAAATGGCTAGTGCAGTGGGAAAGCCCCTATACACTGACAAATTTACTGCTCACTATGAGAAAATATCATATGCTAGAGTGCTTGTGGAGGTTGATGCTGCATATCCTCTGCCAGATCAGATAGAGATAGAATCACCTTATGGCCCTATAGTACAGCTGATTGAATATGACTGAAAGCTTGTATTCTGCAATGAGTGTTTGAAATTTGGGCATGACTCTATTGATTGTTGGCATAACACAAAGTGTGATGAAGAGCAGGAGACTAAGGAAGGGGAAAGACCAAGGAGGCAGAGGAGAAGAATAAAGAAACAAGGTAAAACTGTTAAGCAAGCTTGGCTTGTAAAGAATCCCCAAGTGAATACAGAATCAATTCCTCAGGAATAGTGATACAAGAGAAGCATAATCATGAGAGTGCTTGCTTGGAGAAGGATAGTGGAAGTATAGAAAGTACACAGCAGCTTGTTTTTCGCCATGCCAAGCAAGAAATTGGACAAATACAAATGATATTAATAGCAGAAATACTGCGATGGAAGGAAATATAGACAAGGGCAAGACAATTGCTGAGATTAAGGATGATGGAAGAAGAGGACAACAGATAGATCCAGGGCCATCAGGCCCCCTAATTTCCAATTCTCTATGATTATTGTCACTTGGAATATTAGGGGGCTAAATCAAGCCCATAAGCAGAACGAGGTCAAGACTTTTCTTGCTACAAATAAAGTAGATGTAATGGCATTTATAGAAACCAGAGTTAAGGAGCATAAAGCAAAGAAAATTCAAGGAAAGATTGCAAAGGGATGGAATGTATGATGTAACTATTCTAATGCTGTGAATGGGAGAATTTGGATACTTTGGAAAGCTCATATTCAAGTTCAGATTACCCATATGACAGATCATTCCATCCATTGCTGTATTGAGGATACTAGCAACCAATTTAAAACACATCTTAGTATCATATATGCTCAAAATGATGGACGTAGAAGGGAGAACCTATGGAGAGATCTTAGGCAGATAAATATACCAAACCAGGAAACTTGGATGCTCAGTGGAGATTTCAATAATGTTCTATGCTCTGAGGATAGAATAGGATCCCCTGTAACTGATGCTGAAGTGAAGGGATTTGAGGATGTAATTGATGACCTACAACTTACCCCACTTAGAGCTAAAAGTTGGCATTACACTTGGATAAATAAGCAAGGTACTGGTTCTAGGGTGTATAGCAAGATAGACTGGGCATTGGGAAACTACCAGTGGATTCAGCAGTATGGGCATATAGAAGCTGAATTTTTGAACCCATCAGTTTCTGATCATTCCCCTATTTTAATCAAATGTGGTAGACAAAAGTTATTGCACCCTAAACCATTCAGGCTGTATACAAACATCATAGAGCTCCCACAATTTCAGAGCATTATTCAGCAAGTATGGAACCAGTACTATGATGGAGCACCTATGCAACAGATCTGGAGTAAATTAAAGAATATGAAGGAACAACTGAGGGAGGTAAATACCTATATGGCTTCATACAAGAAGAGTCTTGAGCAGGCAAGAGAGAAATTGGATATTATACAAAGTCAAATTAAGCAGACTCCTTTGGCACAGGCCCTTTTTAATGAAGAGAAAACAGCATTAGATGAAATTGAGAAGTGGAGTAATGTGGAGGAACAAGTAATGAGACAGAAGTCCAAGGCTTTCTGGATTGAATGTGGAGATGCTAACACAAAGTATTTTCATGCCCAGTGGAAGATTAGATCCAGCCAAAATAACATAACATCCATCTATACTGATACAGGTATGAAACTAACTGAGCCCAAACTAGTTGAGCAGGATTTCTTCAGTGTGTTTCAGTCATTGATGGGAGATTGTGCTAATGAGATGCCATGTGCTAACACAGCTATATTAGGGAAGGACCATGCCTAACTATATCACAAAAAAGAACTTTGATTCAGGATGATACAATCGAGGAGATTACAGAAGCAATAAGGGAGATGCCTAAAGACAAAGCACTAGGGGTGGATGGGTTCCCTGTGGAATTCTTTACCAGAAACTGGGAGATAGTGAAAGAAGATGTATTTGCAGCTGTAAAGGATTTTTTCTCTACTAACAGATTGCCTCAAATGATAAATACAACAGCTATTACTCTAGTCCCTAAAGTGAAAGCACCAACAACAGCTAAAGACTATAGACCAATTGCATGTTGTACTACTCTGTATAAGATCATCTCCAAAGTCATTACGAGAAGGATGAAAAGTGTGATTGATGGATTGATTGGGCAGTCTCAGTCAACATTCACTGAAGGGAGAAGCATAGTTGATAATATACTGCTAAGCCATGAATTATTCAAAGGATATTCCAGAAAAGGAGTTTCTCCTAGATGTGTGATGAAGGTGGATTTAAGGAAGGCCTATGAGACTCTGGAATGTAATTTTCTTAGGCAAATGCTTATTGACCTTAGGTTCCCTTCTAAGTTTGTGCAGTGGATAATGACTTGTGTTACCACTGTATCATATTCCTTGGTCCTGAATGGTGGTTTGACAAAGCCTTTTAAAGCCAAAAGAGGGATTAGATAAGGAGATCCAATGTCTCCATACCTGTTTGTTATTGCTATGGAATATTTGAGTAGAGAACTGGGGCAGTTACATAAGAATGGGAATCTTAATTTCCATCCTAAGTGCAGGAAGCTAAACAGCACACACATATGCTTTGCTGTTGATTTACTAATGTACTGTAGAGCTGACTTTGAATACATCAAGATCCTAAATGATGCTTTAAACAGATTCTCAGCTGCTTCTGGTTTACAAGCCAATGTGAGCAAAAATGCAATATATATGGCTGGGATAACTCATGATACTAGAGAAGAAATTCTTGGAAATTTGGGGTTTACTGAAGGAAAGCTCCCTTTCAAATACTTGGGAATTCCTTTAGACTCTAAGAAGTTAGTTGTCTATCAATACTTGCCTCTGATTGAGAAGATAACAACAAAAGTTACATGTTGGTCAGCAAAATTCCTGTCTTATGCTGGTAGATGTCAATTGATTAAGGCTGTTATTTTTGGTATTCAGACTTATTGGGCACAGGTGTTTATTATCCCAAAGAAGGTGATGAAAGCTATTGAAACTATCTGCAGAACATTTTTATGGACTGGTAGTGCTAATACTTCAAAGAAGGCACTAGTAGCTTGGGAAAAGGTATGTAGGCCAATAACAGCTGGAGGTCTTAACATACTGGATATAAAGATGTGGAACAAAGCAGCAGTTATCAAACATTTATGGGACTTAACAAGAAAGAAGGATTGTCTATGGATACGATGGGTGCATAGCTTTTACATAAAGAGCAGGGACATGGAAACAATGGCTACTCCTAAGACAGCATCTTGGGTAGTGAGAAAGATACTGGACAACAGAAGTGTGATCCTGGGACATCAGCAACTTCAAAGGAATATTCACAACAGATTACAGGCAATGTGCAAGAATGGGAAGTTCTAGATCAAACAGATGTATTTGAAACTGATACTTGAGTATTGCAGAGTTGAATGGAAGAGTTTAATGCTGCATACAAATGTACATCCACGATATATGTTCACTCTTTGGCTTGCAGCACAGCAGAGACTAACAATAGTTGACATACTATTGAAGTTTGGTATTCAAGTGCCTGCAGCTTTTGCATTCTGTGGACATAGTCTAGAATTTTTTAACCACTTATTCTTTGAATGCCCAATCACAAAGAAACTGTGGTCTAGACTATGTGATTGGATGGGGCATAAGAGGAACATTGGAGATTGGGAAGCTGAAATGGAATGGATATATAAGAAAGCTAAGAGCAGGAAAGGAATAAATGCTATAACCAGTTGTATTTTTGCCAAACTGTTGCAATGATTTGGAGGGAGAGAAACAAAATCAGATTTGATAAAGGCAAATATGATGAGCATCAAATATGCAAAGAAATAGTGCTGCACATACATATCAGAGGCAAGAGCAACAGCAAATGGAAAGGATTGTTACAGCAGCTGGTTTGGATCCCATGAAGAAATGTAATAGAAGTGACTAGAAAGAGTGTCTGTATTGTAGTGATATAGATAGATAGACACATAGATTTTGCATAGCTAATTGTGATGTAAAAGGGGTAGTAAGTCAAAGCTGCTACTGGGGCTCAAATTGTAAAGTTTTTTGAGTATCAATAGAACATAACTTTAACTCAAAAAAAAAGAAAAAGAAAAAGAAAAAAGGAATGAGTTTAAAATCACTTCCTAGTGTTTTGAGGAAGAAAGAGTGTTTGAAAAATCGCCTCTTATGTTTTAGGATTTATAAAATTGAAAAATGGCTGGAAAGTCCCGTTTATATATACCCCTCTCAGACCCTCGCTGCTGACCGCAGAAAAAGGACCACGGGCGCGGAGCTCCACCGCGGACCGCGAAATATAGAGCGCGGCCGCGAAGATATAGCCTTGCTCACCGCTGACCGCGAAAGCCCCACCGCGGTCGCGAAGACCCCACCGCGGTCGCGAAGATTCATCGCGGATCGCTTAGCTCATTTCAGAGACCTGCAACTTCTCTGAACCTGCAACAGTTATTTTCTAAGTCTAAATTCACTCCGTGGCATATCCAATATTCACCCGAGCCCTCGGGGCTCCAAACCAAACATGCACTCAAGTCCAAAAACATCATACGGACTTGCTCGTGCGATCAAATCCTCAAAATAACATCAACAACTATGAATTAAACCTCAAATTCATGAAATCACTCAAGAACATCAAAACTTCTATTTTCTCAACTATATGCCCGATTTATACCAAATCAATTCCGATCTTTACCAAATTTCACAGATTCAACTTAATTATTATTTTACACTTGTACCCGGCTCCGGACCAAGATACGAGCTCGATACCATCAAGAAATTGTATCAATTTACTTCTAAAAGCCTTTATATTTTCTAGCAAACAATTTTTTTTTAAAAATTCATTTCTCGGGCTTGGGACCTCGGAATTCGATTCCGGGCATACGCCCAAATACCATATTTTACTACGGACCCTACAAGACTGTCAGATCACGGTTCCGGAGCCGTTTACTAAAAATATTGACCAAAGTCAACTTTAGTCAATTTTAAAACCCAATTTCCTTATTTTACTTAGATTTCAGATAAAAGCTTTCCAGAAACGCGCCCGGACTGAGCACGGAAAGC